TTAACCATAAATAAATATATATAAACTTAATATGTATAGAGATTAAATTAACATGTCAAAAATTAAAAAAAACATGAACACTTTGAATTGTTTAATATACTAAACTAAACAAACGCATATTTGTCATATTATGTAACCAAAAAACACTTTTGTCATGGTGAAAGACAAATCAAATATTCACATGTTTTTTTTTTTTTTTTTTTGGATACAAAGTCTGCATATGTTTTGTAGAGATTTAACTAGAAATTAAACCTTTCTATACCTCCAAGAGAGAAAAACAGATAAGAGAAGTATAAAAAGTAGTATATACCTACAGATCAGGTGGCGAAATGAGGTAAGGATGTTGAAAATATGTGGAGCTAGAGGCAGAGCAAAGACGTACAAGAATGGTGCCGGCCAAAGATCTAAACAAACACATAACAAATAACCATAACAGATAGAGATTAGAAAATAGTAAAGGTAGATGATTAGTTATAACTTAACAGTAGATGACATACCATAAACTAAGGAAGCTGAGAATAAGCGAAGAACGGGGTAAGAAGTGTAAAGGCAGAACAAGGAAGCCCAATATTGGTATCAGATTTGAACAAACACATAATAATAACCATAACAGATTAGAAAATAATTAACAAAGGTCGATCAGCTACAATTTCATTTCATTAACAACAACATACAGAAAATATAAACATGATCAGTAGATAACATACCTATAGCCTGTAGCTAGGCTAGGCTGAGGAAGCTGCAAAGAGAGTAAGTAAAGAAAAACTGGGAAGTGTAAAGCTTATTGAGTATAGAAAAGGAAGACCTATATTTTCCAGTAGGGAAGTCAAATAGTCAATGTAGAATTGTTGACGCACAATTGCAAAGAAAAGCAGGACAAGTTAAAAAAAGAAAAAGAAAAAGAAAAAGTAGGTGGAATGGAATCCAAAGTTGATAGGCATAAAGCAATAAAGCATGCAACAGTAGTAACAGTGATTGTAATTATTGGTGTTTGGTGCGTTTTAATAAAGTGAGGAAGCATTTCACGTGCGTAGCTCGACGATCCCTTGTTGTCTCATAGAACAATTCGTGATTTGCACTCATAAGCTCGGGT